ACTGGATTAATACATTGGCCAGCTTGACCTACTCTAGTGATCTTTCTCTCGTGTGCAAGTCCTCGATCGACCGGATACTGCTTGGCCGGCGATCGCTGCGTCTCTCCATCGACCTCGATCCCGCTATAGGAAGCGGCAAGCAACTCAGGAAAGGAAGGAACACACCCGGAAAGGCAGCTACAGGCCTTGGATCAACTCCAGGCCGACCGATCGCAGCGAAGAACCCTCGATCGGAGCGTATACTCGGACGCAGAGCGAAGACTACCGCGCTGCTCCACAAACTATCCCCGCGTCACGCCAAGACACTCGATCTTCACCAAGTGCTGCATCTTCGGAGCCCCGAGAGAGCAGATCCAGCCCGCCGACGGGTAGACAAGGTGAGAACAAGTTCAGCCGATCACGGATCGTTGGGGGACCCCCTCCGTTAGTCGGTGTCTGGGCGCTGGTGGGAAGCTCGATCAGGCCTTAACCAGATTTTGGCCGATCCCGCTACACCACAAAACCATGTCAAGAGTGAGCGTGCTGTGCGTGGATACGACACTAAGAAGCGCAAGTCAGATGCCAACACCAAGGTTCAGGACCAAGGGTGTTTCTACTGTTTCGGCCAAGGACATCAGAAGGCACAATGCGAGCGCATGAAGGCCGACCGCGACCCAAACCGTGAAGGGGGAACGCTTTTCCGCACCAACTTGCAAACCCAACTTTCCAAGCGGGCGCCCAACGGGACTAAGAAGATTGCCACGGTGCAGCACGTTACCAAGAAGCAAAGGACGACGCGTGACGGACCCACGGACGTCGAGATGGAAGAAGCGTTCAAGCTACCTGAGTCGGAAAAGGCCGGATCGGAAGACGAGAATGGAGGCTGTCTGCTGAGTTTCGGTCAAGTCGACACCAGGGTACGTAAGAAGTATGGTGCTTACTTAAATTGGCTACTGCGATTAACAGCTTCGGATGATCTGTGGATTGTTGATACAGGAGCTGGACTGGGGATAAGCCCGGACAGGAGCTGGTTCGAATCTGTCCACACAGGTTCGAGTCACCAGTTTGAGTACGGAAACGGTAGCACGTCGGAGACTGCTTTAACGGGTTCAATACAGATGCATATTGCAAGTCCTTTCAATAAGTCTATCGTTTTAAAGATAAGGAACATTGCTCTCGATTAGGAATGTGGGAGTAATTTAATTAGCGCTTGTCATCTAGCCAGACAAGGTTACAATCACGTTCAATCCCGAGATGATAAGTTTTTGTATTTTTTCAGTGAGAAAGGGCAGCTTTTATTTGCAGCCGTTCAAAAGGGAGCAGTATATTATCTGCCCTCATCTAAGTACAGCAGAGTTAATGCAGTAAGAAAAAGTTATACACAAGCTCAGAAAATAGCTTTGCTGGAGAAGTGGCATCATAGATTAGGCCACGTTCACAAGGCCAGACTTTTGGCAATATTTAGCAATGGATTAGTTGAAGGAATTCCTCAAATTCCTCAAAAGGAACTAAAAGATCTTCCTTTCTTTTGCGCTACGTGTGAAATCGCAAATTCCATGCGAATGTTGATGGAAGGTATGGATCTTGGACACGAAGCTCGGACGAAGCGGAGGGAGGGACGTCGCAGACGGCGGGACCGGAGCGAAGGCACTTGAGGGGTAGAATGAAGATTCGAAAGTGATTGAATTGTTGGAGCTTACACCCTACTGTTATAGACACGCGACCCTGCGTCCTATCACCTAGTGCATCTAATCAACCATCACTCACCGGTGTTCATCCAATCATCCTACTCGTCTAATCATCGGTGGCGTAAACAACTTACCGTAATCACCATAATCAACGTGGGTTCGGATTGGACCGGTTCGGGTTAACCGGTTAATGGGTACAACTGGTACACAGTACCCAAGACCAGCAACCCTTAATACGCCCCCTCAATGCGAAGTCCCACGAATGCCGAGAGCCACCGTCAGATCCGTGTGGCGTGGTCCCGCAAGCGCCTTCGTCATGATGTCCGCTAGCATCACAGAAGTCTCGCAGTACTGGAGCTTGACTTCGCCGCGCTTGACTTCATCGCGGATGGGGTGGTACTTGATGTCGATGTGCTTGGCGCGACCGTGATTCACTGGGTTCTTCGTCATCTTGATGCACGACTGGTTGTCTTCGCGGATCATGAGTTCGGGTCCAGTCTCATTAGCGGCCGCCAGAATCTCGCATAGCAGGCGATGAATCCACTTGCCTTCTTGGATAGCCAGACTGAGCGCGATGTACTCCGCTTCATTGCTTCTTGCTTCCCCAGCTCACAGGCGCACTCATGAGCATGAACGTGTAGCCTGAAGTGGACTTGCGGTCAGCGAGGTCGCCGGCCCAGTCCGCGTCCGAGTAGCCACGAAAGTCGATCTTGTCGCCCGGCTTGAAGCAGATCCCATGCGTCTTGGTGCCTTGCAGGTAGCGAAAGATACGCTTGACCGCAACCCAGTGTTCCTCTTGGGGGTTCTCCATGAAGCGCGATACATAGCCAACGGCGTACGCGATGTCTGGGCGCGTGGCGGTCATCAGGTGCATCAGAGCACCAACAGCTTCGCGAAACGGAGCGTTCACCTTGGTCGCCGCGTCGCTTGGAACCAGTCGAGTGCTCATGTCCACCGGACTCACCACGGCCTTGCACTCGTCCATGGCGAAGCGCTTCAGGATGTCGTCCACGTATCGCCGCTGGCACATGGTCACGCTGCCGTCCGGGCCGTCCACCAACTCGATCCCAAGAACAAACGCGCACTTGCCGCTGTCGGTCATCTCGAAGCGCGTCTTCAGGTCGGTCTTCGTGCGTGCGATCAGCTCGGGCGAACTCCCGGTAATCAGTACGTCATCCACGTACACCAGTACAAGCACGCAGTGACCGTCCACCACCTTGATGTAGAGGCACGGATCGAAGGCCGACACTTGGAAGCCGATGGAGCACACGAACTCGTCGAAGGTCTCGTTCCACACTCGCGAAGCTTGCTTGAGACCGTAGATGGCCTTCACCAGTTCCAGGCAGTCGAAGTCACCATCCAGTTCGACGCCTTCCGGAACCACGCAGAAGACCACCTCCTTCATTATCCCGTACAGGAATGCTGTCACCACGTCGAGTTGGTCGAGGGGCCAGCCAAAATACTTAGCAATCGCGATCACCATGCGCAGCGTCACATACTTGACCACGGGCGAGAACGTCTCGGTGTAGTCAATGCCGTACTTCTGCTTGAAGCCCTTGGCCACGAGGCGCGCCTTGTACTTCTCGATCGAGCCGTCCGCTTTGCGCTTGATCTTGAACGCCCACTTGGTATCGATGGCGCGTTGTCCGTTAGGCAACTTGGCAGCTCGAAACACACCACGCAGTCGCATCGACTTGAGCTCCGCGCGGATCGCTTTGCGCCAGTGCACTTGATCAGGACCGTTCACAGCCTCTTGGAACGTCGTCGGCTCCGATAGATCGGCTGCTGCTTCCACAGCGATGGCACTGGCACGCCAAAACACTGGAGGCGTCGAGTCGTCGTCTTCATCTTGGTCCCCAGACTTTTCTTCTTCGTCGGGGTCGGCTCGGCGCGAGGAGGATACGTCCGGCGCACTTGCTTCTTCTAAGCCAGCTCGGTGGCGAACGGGGCGCGATGTTCTGGCAGTGTTGTCGTCGCCACTCGGTCGGTACTTGCGCTTCCCCGCCTGCTTGAAGCTCGTTTGGCGCGGTCCATCGTTGTCGTCCAGGTCCAGCGCGTCCAAGTCCAACACAGCATCATCGACGTCTTCATCCGAAGTATGCGTCGAAAGTCCAAAGGTCGACTCATTGAAGTTGACATCGCGACTGATAACCACCTGCCCCGCCTCGATGTCATAAACTCGATACGCCTTGGACACTTCTTCGTAGCCGAGGAACAGCCCGGCGCGAGCCTTGGGGTCCCACTTGCGCCGTCTTTCCTTCGGCGTCAGGATGTACGTCTGGCATCCGAACACACGCATGTGCTTCACACTCGGCTTGGACTTGTAAACGATCTCGAACGGAGTCTTGTGTTCGATCTTGGGTGATGGCAGACGATTCTTCACGTAGATGGCTGTCATGGCCGCCTCAGCCCAGAAGCTCTTGTCCAGCTTGGCGTGATGCAGCATGCTGCGGCCAATCGTGACGATGGTCCGGATGGCGCGTTCTGCCGTGCCGTTGGTCTGGTGCGCGTACGGAACCGTGGTTTGCTGCTCGATGCCTTCGACTTCGTAGAAGGCCTTGAGCGAGTTGGTCGCGAACTCACGGGCTCCGTCGTGCCGCACAAACTTGACCTTCTTGCCGAACTGCGTCTGCACCTTCGTGACGTACATCTTGATGCAGTCCTCGCTCTCCGACTTGGCACGCAGGCAGAATCCCTTCATGCATCCGCTGGCTTCGTCCACGATCAGCAGCAGATACTTGCTGCCACCCAGTGACTCTTCTTCCATGGGGCCGCACACGTCGAAGTGGAGCAGCTCGAACGTGTCGTAGTGACGCTTGTCACGGTTGCTTGGGAACGGCTTCTGGACCATTTTCCCTTGCTGGCAGCCGCGACACACGTTTGGTCCACTCGACTTGGAAGGTGCCTTCGCGTCCTTGATCATGTTGTTGTCGACCATCTTGCGAAGCACCTCCACCGGAGCGTGACCCATACGCGCGTGTAAGTCGACCGTCTTCCCACTGGTCGCCGCATTCGCCGATCGCTGAGGCGTCTGGAGCCAGTAGAGTCCATCCACGAGGTTTGCCGTCGCCACCACTTGCTTGGAGCCCTTGTGCGCAATCTGCATCTTGGTGCTGTCGAACACGACTTGGAACAGACCACTCTTGTTGATCTGTGGCACCGAAAGCAGATTCTTGCTCATGCTTGGGACGTACAGCGCGTTCTTGATCTCGATGTCGCGCTCGTCGCCGTTGGGCAGAACCACTCGTTCCACGATGGTCCCCACACCCATGATGGCCGCCTTGTTGCCGTCGGCCACCGAAAGTTCGCCTTCATTCCGCTCAATCAAATGAGCGAACTTGGCCTTGTCGTTGCAGATGTGGTGCGTTGCGCCGCTGTCGACCGCCCACAACCCGGACACATTCTTGCCCGTCGAAATGCCACACTCCAATGAGACCGCGAACGCCACTCGATCATAGCCGTAGTCGTAGTTGTAGCTGGCGTCGTCGTTCCTCCACTGGGCATTGTTGGCCCCGCGTCCACGGCCATTGCCATTGCCGCCGCGTCTTGGGCCCCGATTCTCGTCCTTCTGCTTGGTCCAGCATTTGTCAATCGTGTGCCCCAATTTCCCGCAGTACGTACACTGGCGAGACTCTCGGTCGGTGTTGAACGCCTTGGCCGCATTCTCCGTCTTCACCGTCGCCGTCTTCTCGCCTTGTCTCATTCGTCAGCACCTTCACGACGTCTTGCGATCGTAGTTCAGCGCTGCTCATCTCCAAGTTCAGCACGACGTTCTCGTAGCTCTTGGGGAGGCTGCGCAACAGGCAGATCGCCACGTCCTCATCCTCCATCTTGGCGCCGATGCTGCTGAGCTTGGCGCTGATGTTGAGGACCTCGTTGCAATGATGCAAGACGTTGCCGCCTTCCGACATCTCCATGCTGAAGAGTTGGCGCTTCAGGTAGATGCGTCCAGCCTTCTGCGAACCACCGTACAGCGTCTTCAGGCGCGTCCACGCAACCCACGCTTCCTCGCAGTCGTCGACCACATGGTGGTAGTCCGCGTCCATGTGGAGCAACATCAGTCCGAACGCGATGTTGCTCGACTTGACGTAGTCGTCCTTGGCCCGCGAGTCCGTGAAGCTCGGCGTCGTCTCGCGGTTCACGACATGCCACGTCGACTTGGTCAGGAACACGCCACGCATGTAGCGGTTCCACGTCGCGTAGTTGTCCCCGTTGAACTTGTCAATGGAGACCTTGGTCGAGGCGTCTTGGGCAGAGGACATGGTGCTTGGGCTCATAACCTGATGGAAGGTATGGATCTTGGACACGAAGCTCGGACGAAGCGGAGGGAGGACGTCGCAGACGGCGGGACCGGAGCGAAGGCACTTGAGGGGTAGAATGAAGATTCGAAAGTGATTGAATTGTTGGAGCTTACACCCTACTGTTATAGACACGCGACCCTGCGTCCTATCACCTAGTGCATCTAATCAACCATCACTCACCGGTGTTCATCCAATCATCCTACTCGTCTAATCATCGGTGGCGTAAACAACTTACCGTAATCACCATAATCAACGTGGGTTCGGATTGGACCGGTTCGGGTTAACCGGTAAATGGGTACAACTGGTACACAGTACCCAAGACCAGCAACCCTCAATAGTAATTAAGGAAACGTGCATCGATTCGCTCCGTGCAAGCACTTCCGTCGTATTGAACGACTCCCTCCCCAGGGTTTTGAAGCACCAAGAGAATCAACTGATCCAGTTTCAGTTGCGGCACTTTTGCGAAGGTACATGAGCGCATTCGGGGGGGTTGTTCCTATTTTACTTGACTGTGTCTGTTTGCTGCGAATTTATAGGACCCCTCATCGGAGTCGAAGTAGAGCAAGCCCAATTGCT